CACTCTGAATACGGACTTATAGACTACTAATCTGTGAGAGAATAAACTTCTGTTTGTTAAAGGCATCCACTTATGCTATTTCTGCTATAGCAGCACTAGATAACTAATACAGTCACTCTGAGTCGGAATCGACTCCACAGCAACGAGTTTGGTACTGGCTTGAGATCATTGTTGTATTCGCTATTAAGCAGTGTCATGTTTCAGAGATAGCACAAAGTAATAAATAATAAAAAAGGTAGTATTGGTTAAGTACCTTTTCCCATACTTTAGCAAACGTCATAGTTAGCTCCCGTTCCAAGCATTCTCTTGTTATTATAATATTGCACATCAGTAGAAGGGAAGGGCTGGTGAATCTGAACGCACATAAGATTTATCTGAATGTACAAATTATAGTTTGTTGTTATTGTTGTTAGGTGCCGTCTAGTCAGTTCCAACTCATAGCGACCCTATGTACAACAGAACAAAACACTGCCTGGTCCTGAGCCATCCTCACAATCATTGTTATATTTGAGCCCATTGATGTAGCCACTGTGCCAATCAATCTTGTGGAGGGTCTTCCTCTTTTCATTGACCCTCTACTTTACCAAGCATGATGTCCTTCTCCAGGTCTCTCCTGATAAAATGTTCAAAGTACGTGAGATGAAGTCTCACCATTCTTGCTTGTAAGGAGCATTCTGGCTGTACTTCTTCCAAGACAGATTTGTTGGTTCTTCTGGCAGCCCATAGTATATTCAATATCCTTTACCAACACCATAATTCAAAGGCATCAATTCTCTGGTCTTCCTTATTCATTGTCCAGCTTTTGCATGCATATGAGATCATGGAAAATATCATGGCTTGGGTCCAGTACACCGTATTCCTCAGAGTGACATCTTTGCTTTTTAACACTTTAAATAGGTCTTTTGCAGACCTATATTACTGTTTAAACTATGGAAAGAAACAACTGTTTTGTATGCCCCTTGTTCAAAACAAACATGTGATTACGTATATTAATGCTTTTGTTGTTGTTAGGTGCCACTGAGTCAGATCCCTCTCCTAGGGACCCCACGTACAACAGGATGAAACACTGCCCAACTGTGCTTCAGCCCATTGTTGCAGCCACTGTGTCATTCCATCTCCTTGAGGGTCCTCCTCTTTTGCTATGACCCTCCCTGTACTTTACTAAGTATGAAGTCCTTTTCCAGGAACTGATCCCTCCTAATAACTTGTCCAAAATATGTGAGACATAGTCTCACCATCCTTGCATCTAAGGAGCATTCTGGTTGTACTTCTTCCAAGACAGGTTTGTTGGTTCTTTTGGAGGCCCATGGTATATTTAATATTCTTCGCTGACACCACAATTCAAAGATGTCAATTCTTCCTCAGACTCCTTATTCATTGTCCAGCTTTTGCATGCATATGTGGCGATTGAAAACACTATGGCTTGAGTCAGGCACACTTTAGTTTTCCAGGTGACATCTTTGCTTTTTAACACTTTAAAGAGGTCTTTGGCATCAGATTAGCCCAATGCAACACAGTTTGCTGTCTTGACTGCTGTTTCCATGTTGTTGATTGTGGAGCCAAGTAAAATAAACTCCTTGATGACTTCAATCTTTTTTCCATTTAACATGATCTTGCTTACTGGTCCCCAGCTGTGAAGATTTTTGTTTTCTTCATGTTGAGGTATAATTTATACTGAAGGCTTTGGTCTTTGATCTTCATCAGTAAGTCCTTTTCACTTTCAGCAAGCAAGGTTGTGTCATCTGAAGAACACAGATTGTTAATGAATCTTCCTCCAATTCCGATGCCTTGATTTTCTTCATATAGTCCAGCTTCTGGTGAAAGGCTACTACCCTGACGCACACCTTTCCTGACTTTAAACCACACAGTATCCACTTTTTCTGTTCAAACAACTGCCTCTTGATCTATGTTCAGGTTTCTCATGAGCACGATTCAGTGTTCTGGAATTCCCATTCTTCCCAATGTTATCTATAATTGGCTATGATCCACACAGTTGAATGCCTTTGCATAGCCAATAAAACACAGGTAAACATTCTTCTGGTATTCTTTGCTTTTGGCCAAGATCCGTCTGACGTCAGCCATGATATCCCTGGTTCCATGTCCTCTTCTGAATTCGGCTTGAATTTCTGGCAGTTTCCTGTGGATATACTGCTGCAGCTGCTTTTGAATGATTTTAAGCAAAAATTTTACTTGTGTGTGATATTAATGGTATTGTGTGATAATTTTTGCATTCAGTTAGATCACCTTTCTCGGGAATAGGAATAAATATGGATCATTTCCAGTCAATTGGCCAGGTAGCTGTCTTCCAAATTTCTTAGCATAGATGAGTAAGCACTTCCAGCTCATCATTCGTTTGTTGAAACATGTGAACAGCAGTGGAACATTGTCTGATATAGTGCCGGAAGATAAGCCCCTCAGGTTGGAAGGCCCTCAAAAGGAGACTGGGGAAGAGCTGCCTCCTCAAAGTCGAGTTGACCTTAGTGACGTGGATGGGGTCAAGCTTTGGGGACCTTCATTTGTTCATGGGACATGACTCAAAATGAGAAGAAACAGCTGCAAACATCCACTAATAAGTGGAACATGGAATGTAAGAGGTATGAATCTAGGAAAATTGAAAATCGACAAAAATGAAATGGAACGCATATTAGTACCAGGTATAGCTTAAGAAAAATTGAGAGGCTGTAGTTTAGAGTGTCTTGGTCAGTCACATCAGTTCGTAAGTATGACTGACCAATAACACCTCTCCACACTAAAATGTCCCAATTTTGTTAAAGTTCAGTTAGTCTAGGTATTATAATGAATGTGTGCAAAAAACTAAAGAAAAACCAAACCCATTGCCTTGAGTCAATTCCGACTCATAGTAACCCTACAGGACAGAGTAGAACTGTCCCATAGGGTTTCCAAGGAGCAGCTGGTGGATCCGAACTGCCAACCTTTTGGGTAGCAGCAGAGCTTGTAACCACTTTGCCACCAGGGCTCCATGTGTGGAAGCATATATTAATTCAATAATAATAATCAATCAGTAATCCAACGATACCACTTATTGATCATTGATAAAAACAGCCAACTTGACCATTCGTTGTTCACCAATAATTAATCATCAATAATGACTGTCAACTGTGCCAACTGCGGTGTTAAGATTTTATCTTAGAATACTGATAGATCTTTACTCAGGTTTGACAGCACACACTCATTTAGTTTATTTTAAGGTAGTCATGGCAAGGCAGTCAGGTAAGACCTCATAACATTTATTTAAGACCAGTGAATCAGAATTAACAATTATAATTACATTGTTGGTTCAATAGTTTGAATCCAAATATTTAGACTTCAGGCTTCTACTTTCAGTATGAGGTCTCAGGAGGGAGACTAAACCAGAGCTCAAACTCGGAAGAAGTCCCTGGTGGCTAGGGTTCAAGGTCGCCGGCTGCAGGCAGAATCTCAGCATGCTCTCCGTGTGTGTTCCTGCCTTGTCTTAGTGAGTGAGCAGAAATTTGGGGTTTATATGTAAACTTCTCACCTTGGCTCCACAGGACTATGGCCAGTGTGATGTAACAGACTAGTGTGTTGTCATTTCTCCGGGGTTACGGATTGACCGAACAATCCGTTTTTTCTTCAATGTTAGAGATTAGGGAAGTTGTTTAGGTTTTTATCTCAAGGCTAGTTTACAAAGATTAACTATGTTCTGTCTTCTTTTGTCACTGCACGTCAGGTTAAAGTCAACTTAACTTAAAGACTGTTTATCAGATTCTTCACATACTTGTATGTTTCCATGTCTATGTTCAGAAGTGTTCTAAACAACTTTCTTATGATTTATAAGTTTCTGATAACATATTGGAGCCCTGGTGGTGCAGCGGTTAAGACTGCTAATTAAAAGATTGGCAGTTCAAATCCACCAGGTGCTCCTTGGAAACCATATAGGGCAGTTCTATTCTGTCTGTAGAGGTACTATGAGTCAGAATCAACTCAATGGGAAGGGGTTTGGGTTTGGTTTTGAATGACTTATACTTCATGTTAGGTAGCCTCAAAACATATTTCTGTTTCTAAGTTTATATTATGAGTTCTTGTACCTAGGTATTTTGAAAACATAATAGTGTATTATAACTTATGGGATTTGATATCATTATAGAAACATACAGAACATCCTGATTAGAACAAAAACCAAATGTGAAAAGATATTTTTGAGACAATTAATGAAGTTTGATTATGGATGGGATATGAAATGAAATAAAAAATCGCTGTTAGTTTTGTTAGATAAAATAATGACTCTATGATTATAAAAGACAATGTCCACAAGTGTTTTGGAAGTGCATACTGAAGATAGAGCAGTAAACTTACAAAGTTTCTGGGGTTTATTTCAAAATAATTTGGAAAATAAATTCAAAAATTACTACACCAAACAAATATGATGAAGTCTTGATAATGGTTGAATTTATTGATCATATGGGGATTTATTGTACTATTCTCTTTGATTTAGAGTAGAACTGAATGTTTTGTAATGAAATATTGCCCCAGATAAATGTGGATTCTAAGGACTTAATGGAAAAATTCTCCCTCCATGAGTCTGGCTTTATTGAAGGAATCTGGATATTTAACCCGGGTCCCAGATAACAAGGACAAAAGTGATGGCTTCCATATTTTTAGCAGCATGACTGAGTTGCTGAGAGTTTCCTGCTCAGTTCCTGTGTCACTGACACTGTTAGAAGCAGGCATTCACCCTTGAAGATCTTGGGTCTGACTCAATGACAGATGTTGATCAGGCGACCAGGGTTCATGCGAAAGAGAGCTGACGGGAGTCCACCACCCTTATTTCTGAAGGCACAGCTTTCCCCGGTGACAAGCACAGGATGACATGTTTTTATAAAGATGCTGGAAATCCATGAAGTTCATGTTAGCAAAAAAAAAAAAAAAAGAAGAAGAAGGAAACCAGGCTCTTTCCTTTTCCTGAGATTCCACAAACTGGGGGATCTGAGCCAATTTTCGTCTTCCTTCTCCTTGCCTGAGTGTCTGTACCACCAACTGTTTTTAACACCCCTTTCTGCTCACTTAGAGCTGCATTTGCACAATTTCCCTTTGCTGTGTGCTCTTTCAAGTAGGGTTTCTGTTACTTCCCACCAACCTCATGTCCCACCTATTTCCTGAGCTGGGCCAGGATGGGTTCGTGTTCCAGGAACAGCTGACATGCAGCACTGTGGATAAACTGCTGGCACAGAAATACACGGCTGAGTCCCCCAGCTCCGTGGACTGGATCTCCATGCTGCAGGATGAGTTTTTGGAGCAGTGAGCTGAAAATCGCTTATCAGGTAATCCTGATCCATCAATGGTTTCTTCATTCTTCAAGTAAGCCAAAAACTTGAGCTCTTCTCTCAGCTTCTGACGATACCAATAAACATGAACGTGTTGTTTTATAGGGACACAATCCATCCTTGCTATCTGCTGTCTTGCTTTGACCAGCTGTCTTGGAGTCTGGGTGACCTCAGTGTCCATGGAGCCTGTGGAGGAAGGAGACAGAATCTGGAGAAAGCCCAGGAGGAGCCTGTGTTGCAGCCCCAGGAGGAAGCCCTGACCCTGGAGTCCAACAAGGTCAACAGGACTGACCTGCTCCCAGGAAACACAGGACTGCCAGGCAGAGAAGTGTGGGAACCATGCTGGGCAGGGAAGGCAGGGCTGGTGGCCTTTCTCTAAGGCTGCTCATCCGCATCAGCAACCTCCATGTGATGTGGTCACCTCCCAGAGTCTTCACAGCTGCTGTGGGCGTGAGTCACAGTCATTTCATGGGGGGAGGGTAGCGAGGGGGAGCTGTATTTTATCTTGAGTAGCAGGTGACACAAATAGTGTGTTTTAGCCTGCTTTCATTTTTCTTCCCCTTCTCTGCTCTTTCAGTATGTCTATTTTAAACCATCTATAGTATATTCTTTGCTTTTTTAACTTGTTTATCTGCCTCTTTCCCTTCCCCTTCTCCCTTGCATGTCAGGTAATGGATAGTACAGCTCTGTGTGTATCAATCATAGCTTTTACCACGGTCATGAAGTCATCTAGAAGATACTTTACACTAAAAGTTAAATATTGAATCATATAAAGAAATAATTATTACCCTTAACGAATGGATATAGAGAAACAAGAAAATAAATAACTTTACCTGAACTAAACAGTTTAAGAGAGAGATTATTGTGAAAAGTTTTAAGACCCTGTGTCACTCTTATAAAAACTATTCCATCATTGTTTTCCTGTAATCTGAAAATTCAATTCATCATTCCTTTGTTTTTCATTTAGGTTTAGCATTTATATAGGAATCTCAAAAATTTATAGTATACAGTTTTGCATGATTTTGGACTTTATCTAAGTTGGGTCTGTTGTTCATATTATTTCTGTGACATGTTATTTTTTATTTAATATATCTGTGATATAATTTATGTTGGCTCATCTATTTTAGTTAATTCATTTTTGCTGTTTCTTAGAATTTCATTGCATTAATTTGCTAGAATGTATTATCTATCCTTCTGTTAATGCATTTTTTCCCCCAGGTTTTTGCTACCACAAACAGCACTGCACTCTTGTACCTGTTCGGCACACGTATGTGCAAGAGGCTCCATTCACCTGGAAGGTGGTTCCGAGTCTTAGAATCAACAGTTCAAATTTGCCTAATAATAACAACAGACCATTTTCCAAAGTAAGTAATGCAAACAAGTAGTCCCACCGACAGTGCAGGAGAATATGCAAACGCTCCACATTTAGGAGTGCAGTTTGTATTTCTCATCCTTTAAATTTTGCCGGTCTACTAGAGTAAAACTGTATCGCACGGTAGTATACCCTTGCATTTTTGTTATTTATAGGAAGATTGAACATATTTTTATATTTATAGGGTGCAAGTGTTCTCTGGAAACTGCCTTTTGCCCATATTTCTTTTCACTTGATTAGCTATTATTTATTTTTAACAACTCTTTATGTCTTCTGGATACGAAAACTCTCTGTTATATGTGTGGCTAATATCTTTCCTATTTTGTGGCTTGTGTAATCACACTATGATGCTTTCTGGTGAGCACAATTTCTTAAAGTAGTGGAATTTGTTATTCTTTTCTTCTGGGTATGCATTTTTGTGTTTTTTTTTAAATTAATCTTTTCATAGCTCAAGTTTATAAAACTATTCTTCCATATTATTTACTAAATATTTACCATTTTCAATTTTGCGTGTAAGCATTGAATAGATTTAGATCTTATTTTGCTTACACTGTGTTGTTGTTGTGGTTAGGTGCCATCGAGTGTGTTCCAACTCATAGTGACCCTTTGTACAGCAGAAGCAAACATTGCCTGTTCCTGCGCCATCCTCACAGTCCTTGTTATGCTTCAGCCCGTTGTTGCAGCCACCATGTCAGTCCATCTTGTTGAGAGAATTCTTCATTTTTGCTGACCCTCTACTTTACCTAGGTGATGCCTTCTGCAGGGGCTGTTCAGATAACATGTCCAAAGTGTGTGAGATGTAGTCTCACCATCCTTGCTTCTAAGGAGCATTCTGGTTGTACTTCTTCCAGGATTTAAGGTCATTTTAAAAAATCTGTTTGGATTACCATTTGTACCAAAATAACTTATTGCATATTCCATCACTCCCCCAAATATCCCAGAACCCTGTCATAAGTGAATTTTCTATATATTTATGGAACTAGTTTTTACATTACTATTATTTCTCATTGGTCCATTTGTCTAGGCCGCTTTGATTATTTGGAAACAATAGTCAGTAGGACAAGTCCTTTCACTTGTACTTCTTCAAGATTATCTTGCCTGTTGTCCCTGTTTTCCACATAAATTTTAAATTCTTCTTGTCAAATTTGATGAAAGAAATATCTGTTCTCGTTGTTAGTATTGGATTGAATACATTGATAATATTATACATCATTGCAATATTTTAATACCCGGTGTGCTTATTCATGAACATAGTCTATTTCTCCATGTATTTCAGAATTTTAAATTATCTTTGTAATTTTTAAAAATAATATCTCCATTAAGATTGTAGTTATCATTTAACGACAATTTTTGTGTACTTTATATTTTATATCTTATGTCACTTTTGTAAATGTTGTCTCTCTCTCTTTAAAAAAAATGCACCTTCATTTCGACATTGATATATGCAAATAAAATTAAGGGACATCTTTTGTTCGTTCCCAATTTTAAAGAGAGTGGTTTTAATATTTAGTCATTGACTCATTAGAATGTTGAGGTGGGGGAGTTGTATTATAGCAACCTTTTATCAGTTTAATGAAGTTTGCTTCTATTCCTTGTTTTTTAAAATAGTTCTAATTCCTGAATGATATTCAATATTATTTTTTGTTTTGATACAGCTGTTGATAAAATAATGCTTTTTTATTCTATAAGATGTCAATGTGGTGAATTGCATTAATTGATAATCTGAAATTGACATAACCAACTTTGCATTATTATAAGAAAGCCATCACTGGGTGAGGAATTATCTTTTTCACACCTTGCTCAAATTGATTGCAATATCCAGCTTAGGAGTTTTCTACTTCTTAAGCATGTGAATTGCTCTCAGTACCTTAAACACTGAGTAGCAACATGGGCTCGGGTATTTTAATTTTTGCCACATGTAGCCTTAATTAAGTACCTCTGACTTAAGGAAGACATAAACATAGATAAAAAATACAATATATGAAAGTAAAGCAGAAGAATAAAGGAAACTAAAATAGAAATAAAATCCCAAGACAATCAATATGTAAATCCAAATCATGCCAAGAAACCCAAAGAGTTAGATGCCTCAAACTGCAAGGTAAACAGGCTGATCATTACATCGGACACACTGAGCTATTTCAGAAGTTGCACCCCCGTGTCTCAATGAGATCCATAGACATCTACTTTTTCTTCAGTGTTAGATGTCATCAAGCGACGTTTTCTATACGTAGATCCAACGTAAAAGCAGTCCCTTTTTTCAGTTTCCCTCCACTTTCCTGGGGGCCAGTGCTGCCAAATGTTGTAAACATCCCCTTCTGCTCAGGTAAGAACTGTCATTTACAGAATTTCCCTTGGTGTGTGCTCATTCAAGTAGGGTTTCCGTTACTTCCCGCCAACCTCATGTCCCACCTATTTCCTGATCTGGGCCAGGATGCATTTGTGTTCCAGGAACAGCTGACATGCAGCACTGTGGTTTGACTGCTGGCACAGAAATACACGGCTGAGTCCCCGGGCTCCATGGACTGGATCTCCATGCTACAGGGCGAGTTTTCGGGGCATTTAGCTGAAAATCGATCATTGGGCATTCCTGATTTATCCATAGCATCTTCATTCTGAAAGTAAATCAAAAACTTCAGCTCCTCTCCCAGCTTCTGACGATACCAGAAAACATAAGCGTGTCCTTCCATAGGGACACAATCCATCTTTGCTGTCTGCTGTCTTGCTTTGACCAGCTGTCTTGGAGTCTGGGTAACCTCCGTTTCCATGGAGCCTGTGGAGGAAGGAAACAGAAGCTGGAGAAAGCCCAGGAGTAGCCTGATGTTACAGCTCCAGGAGGAAGCCCTGACTCTGGAGTCCAAAAAGTCAACAGGACTGACCTGCTCCCAGGAAACACAGGACCGCCAGGTAGAGAACTATGGGGCCCATGCTGGTCAGGGAAGGCAGGGCTGGTGGTCTCTCTCTAAGGCTGCTCATCTGCATCAGCAACCTCCCACGGTCTTCACAGCTGCCAGGGGTGTTAGACACAATTATGTCACAGGCTAAGGGAGAGGCCTTTATTTTAGCAGGTGAAACAACTACGGTGAGTTTTAGCCTGCTTTCCTTTTGCTTCCCTGACTTTGCGCTTTAGTATATGTTTTCCAACCACCTGCACGTTATTTATTGATTTCTTTTTAACTTGTCCATCTATCTGTTCCTCTTCTACCTTCCGTTCCATATCACGTCTTAAACTATCCAGCCCGGTGTATACGAAGCATAGCTTCTATCACACTCGTAAAGTCACATAGGATCTACTTTACATTAAAAGATTAAATATTCAATTATATAAAGTAATATGTATTACACTTAAGCACTCGATATAGAGTAACAAGAACGTGAGTACTTTGCCTGAACTAATCATTTTAAAACAGAGATTATCGTGAGAAGGTTTAAACCCTGTGCCACACTTTCAGATTTCATCAGTCTTTTTCCACCTCCTCCAGGTAACCCTCACCCAAAGTTTAGATTTGTTATTTGCTTGCTTTTCATTTAAGTTTAGCACTTACATGAGAATCTGCAAAATATATTTTACTTAATTTTATATGTTTTTGGACTTTTATCTAAATTTGGTCATTCTGTTCATATTTCCCTTGATATGTTCTTTTTTATTGAGTATTTTACCTGATTCATGTTGCATATATTTTAGATCATTCATTTTCACTTATACTTACCATTCCGTTGTATGAGTTTGCTAAGACGTGTTACCCAGTCTTATATTAATGCTGACTTTTTCCCTGGTTTCAGCTACTATACGCAGCACTGCACTCTTGTACCTGTTCTTCTCACGTATGTGCAAGAGGGTCCCTTTATGTGAAAGGGAAGACTGAGTCTTAGAGTCAGCAGGTCAAGTTTGCATAATAACAAAACGTTTTCTAAAGTAAGTAACACAAATCAGTAGTCTCCCAACAGTGGAGGAGAGCTTGCAAATGCTCCACATATAGGACGGCAATTGCTGTTTGACACACTTTGAACTCTGCCCATCTATTAGGTTAAACTCTTAGCAACCCTGCAGGGAATCCACCCCATGTCAGTGGGTTTAGTGGTTTTGTTAGTAAGTTAAAACTGTAGCTCATAGTCATTATGCTTGCAATTTTCTGCTTACTTGGGAGACTGAACATATTTTTTTATACTTATAGGCCACTAGCGCTTTTTATTGGAGTCCCTGGGTGGTGTGCATAATCATTAATATAATTGACAGCTAACTGAAAGGTTGGTGGTTCAAGTCTACTCTGAAGAACCTCGGAAGGAAGGCCTGGCAATCTACTTCTGAAAACTCAGTCACTGAAAAGCTTATGGAGTGCAGTTCTACTCTGACACATGTGGAGTTGCCATAAGTTGGAGTCAACTCCATGGCAACTTTTTTTTCCCCCACATATAATAAGCACGTTATTTGTGTTTGCCATTATTTTCTGGACTATGTTTAGCTCTGAGATTTCCAAGCTGGTGTTCTAATCCACGGAGACAGAGGAAGTCAATAATATTTCAAGGAAAATCAGACATTTCCTTGATATAGAACTGTGGCAGCTAACCACTATTTACCGTTCCCACCAGTAGGTTGAAATTTATACACTGTGTCATTCTCATTATATAACACAGGTCGTTCCCAATAGTCTTAGATAACTGAAAATGAGATCACAGATTAACTAGTTCTTAGCGAATGCTCTTTATTTAGAAGACCAATCTAACAACAACAAAAAAAAGTGAACAATATAAGGACCCCTGAAATAAAAGATGTATTTATGGTGAAACTTTGGTTGACATCCTTGGCCTAGAATCTGATGCTGCCCCCTCCTGGAAGGAAGGCAGAAGACGCACTCACTTGCCGTGTGCCTGAGCTTCTGCGTGTGTGTGCGCATGTGTGTGTGTGCAAGTAAGATGGACAGGGAAGGGGGGGGCAGAGTGAGAGTGAGAGGAGGGAGAGGGGAGAGGAGAGGAATCAAGGTCAGGATGCAGAGTGACAGTCACGAGGAGGTGCAGAGGTGTGAGGAGAACCTGGAGAGAGAACGTCTGCTGGCAAGGCTGCTTCCGTGGGGGAATCAGCTCCAAGCTCTCCATCACATCTTCGAGGTTGAGGGTCTCATTCCTTATACTGGGGTCTCAACCTTGTTTGTCCTAGACCCCTTTGTCAGTCTAATGAAACCTAAGAAACTTCTCAGAAGAATGTTTTAAATGCATTAAGTAGAATATATACTATTACAAGGGAAACTAACTATTTTGAAATGCAGTTACCAAAATATATTTTTAAAATTTATGATATGTTAATATATGTACAACTTTAAATTTCATTTAACAAAACGTATCATGGTTTGCCTGAAATGTCATGATTTCTTAGCAGTGATAAGCTAACTTGTGTTTATCTAAGTTAGTATAATATGCAAATATCTGTGGCATCCATATCAATTGTAATATGATACAAAAATATCTTTGATTTCTCTTAGTGACTTTGTTGCAGGCTGTATCAATACTACTGTGGCTTATTCCCTACACTTACCACAGAAAGAAGTGTTATATTTCAGTTAGAGATTAGTGAAAATAAAGATATATTTTTCCCATTTGAATTCTGAATTCCATCCATGTTCCCCATGGTGTCCACGGATCCCAGGTTAAAACCTCCTTACTTAGAAGGGGACATGATTCATGCTGGAGGTCATGGACATGGCTCTCTATGAAGTTCCTATATTCTCAGAAATACTTTGCCTACATGAGCAATTTTGTTAGATTGTCAGTGATGTCTCGATTAAAATAAAGAAAGGAAAAACGAGTTTTAAACCACTTCTTCGGACTTTTTTACCTGTGGAAATTGTAACAATGACATGTACTTACCATGATTGTATCCTAGTCTTTGGACCATGATATGATTTCTGTAATCTGTCTTTCTATCCACCATCTTCATTATTGTCACCTGCATCATTACCTACATGCTCATATCATCATCATCATCATATTGTCTGTGTGGTCCATGAGGGGCGTTATTGGAATACAAATGGCAGGCACATGGTTTGATAGACACATACTCTCTTGTATGGAAGATCAGGGCTTTATGCAAAGAAACTCTGTAATCATAAATAATATCCCTAAAGTCGAATTACAGAAAGGTCTAAACAATCCCTTACAGTACTAAACATTACCATTTCTGAGACATCTTATGCGCCAATAAATGTAATACAAACTTAATTCTGGTTGACAGTATTTTAGAAAATTCTACTGGACTTACCCTCATAGCAACTGTCTTAAGCTGGGTTCTCTAGAGAAGCAAAACCAGTAAAGGTTATAAATATATATATATATATATATAGATTTATATCAAAGAAATGGCTCATGCAGTTGTACAGGCTGGAACGTCCCAAGTCCGTAGGTCAGGATAGAGGCGTCTCCTGATTCACGTATCCGCAGGGGCTGGCGAACCCAAGATGGGCAGATCAGAGAGCAGGGTTCTTGCTCACCGGCTTCGAAGATTAATAAATCCCAAGATCGGCAGGCAAGACCGCAGGTAAGCTGCTAGCTCAAGTCCCAAAAAACAGAGATCAGGAAACAGGAGGCAGCTGCAGGATCTAGCATGAGCAAAAAGCCCATGAGCCTTGCCAGAATGTCCACTTATATTTGATGCAGGAAGGAAACTCCCTTTCAGCTGGTTGGCTACTCACAGCAGATACCATCATGGAGTTGATGACAACATCATACGACTGCCAAACCTCTGAGAATCATGGTCCAGCCAAGTTGACATACAACCTTAACCATCGCAGCAACTCACAGAGACCGTATAGGAGAGAGTAGAACTGCTATGGGGTCGCTGTGAATTGGAATTGACTCCACAGCAACGGATTTGGTACTGGACTTAAGATTCTTGTTGTATTCACTTTTAAGCAGTGTCATGTTTCAGAGATAGCACAAAGAAATACATAATAAAAAAGTGATATTGGTTAAGTACCTTTTGCTATACTTCAGCAGATCTCATAGTCTGCTCCCCTTCCAAGACTTCTCTAGTTATTACAATATTGAATGTCTCCTGAAGGGGAGGGGCTGGTGAACCTGGATGGATATAAGACTTATCTGAATATACATATTATAGTTTGTTGTTGTTGTTCTTATTGGGTGCCATCAAGTCGGTTCCGACTCATAGCAACCCTATGTACAACATAACGAAACACTGCCTGGTCATGTGCCATCCTCAAAATCATTCTTATATTTCAGCCCATTGTTGCAGTCACTGTGTCAATCCATCTGACTGAGCGTCTTCCTCTTTTTCGCTGACCCTCAACTTTACCAAGTATGATGTCCTTCTACAGGGGCTGGTCCCTCTTGATAATATGTCCAAAGTAGGTGAGATGAAGTCTTGCCATCTTTGCTTCTAATGAGCATTCTGGCTGTACTTTTTCCAAGACAAATTTGTTTGTTCTTCTGGCAGTTCATGGTATATGCAATATTCTTCACCAACACCATAATTCAAAGGCATCAGTTCTTCTTTGGTCTTCCTTATTCATTGTCCAGCTTTCGCACGCATATGAGGCAATTGAAAGTACCATGGCTTTTGTCAAGCGCACGTTAGTCCTCAAAGTGACATCTTTGCTTTTTAACACTTTAAAGAGGTCTTTTGCAGACCTATATTATAGTTTAGACTCTTGAAAGAAACATCTATTTTATAAGCCCCTTGTTCAAAATTAAAATGTTATACTTTTATTAATGCTAGGTACAGCCAAAAAAAAAATGGAAAGGTTGTGTTTTAGAGTATCTTGGTAAGTAATACACTAATTTGTTTGTAAGACTGACCAATAGCATCTTTCCATACTAAAAAGACCCAATTGTATTCAAATTCAGTTAGTCTAGGTATTACCATATATGCAAGCATATATTACTTCAATAACAATAATCAATCAGCAATCCAACTATGCCACTTGTTGATCGTTGATAACAATAACCAACTGTGCCATTTGTTGTTCACCAATAATCAATCGTAGATAACAACTGCCAACTGTGCCAACTGTGGTGTAAGATTTTGTCTTAGAAAATTAACAGAGAGATACCCAGGTTTAATAGCATAAACTCATTTAGTTTATTTTAAGGTAGCCTTGGCGAGGCACTCAAGAAAGACCTCCCAACATTCATTTAAGACCAGTGAATCAGAATTAACAATTAGAACTACATTGTTCTATACTGAGAATCCAAATCTGTAGACTTAAGGCTTTTATCTTTTCTCTGGGGTTACAGTTCAGCTGAATGACACATTTTTTTCTTCAAGGTTAGGGATTAAGGAGGTTGTTTAGATTTACTTCTCAAGGCTAGTTTACAAAGGTTAAGTATGTTTTGTCTTCCTTTGTCACTGCATGCCAGGTTAAAGTCATTTTAATTTAAAGATTGTTTACCAGATTCTTCACATCTATGTTTCTGTGTCTGAGATCAGAAGTTTTCTAAATAACTTTCTTATGATTTACAGGTTTCTAATGCCTTACTGGAGCCCTGGTGGCACAGTGGTTAAGGCTGCTAATTAAATGATCAGCAGTTCAAATTCACCAGCCGCCCCTGGAAACCCTATGGCACAGTACTTTTCTGTCCTATTGGGTGACTATGAGTCAGAATTGACTCAACAACAACAGGTTCTGAACGACCTATAGTTAATATTAGAGGGGCTCACAATATATTTCTATTTCTTTTTTTATTGTGGTTTAAGTTTAAATTAGGTTCTCATACCAAAATTTATACACACATTGTTATGTGACCCTAGCTGCTCTCTCTATACTATGACAGCACACTCCTTTCCACCCCGGATTTCCCGTGTCCATTCAACCAGCTCCTGACCCTCTCTGCCTTCTCACCTCGCCTCTGGAGAGGAGCTGTTCATTTAGTCTCACGTATCTACTTGAGCTAAGAAGCACACTCTTCACGAGTATTATTTTATGTCCCATAAATCCAGTCTAATCTTTGTCTGAAGAGTTGGCCTCAGGAATGGTTTTAGTTTTGGGCTAACAGAGAGTCCGGGAGCCATGTCTTCTGGGGTCCCTCCAGTCTCAATCAAACCATTAAGTCTAGTCTTTTTACTAGAATTTGAGTTCTGCACCCCACTTTTCTCCTAGTCCTTTAGGGACTCTGTTGTGTTTCCTGTCAGGGAGGCCATTGGTGGTAGCTGGGCACCATCTAGTTCTTCTGGTCTCAGGCTGATGGAATCTCTGGTTTATGTGACCCTTTCTGTCTCTTGGGCTAATGTTTTCCTTGTGTCTTTGGTGTTCTTCATTCTCCTTTGCTCCAGGTGTGTTAGGACCAATGATGCATCTTAGATGGCCATTTGCTAGCTTTTAAGACCCCAGATGCCACTCACCAAAGTGGGATGCAGAACATTTTTTTAAATAAACTTTGTTATGCCAATTGACTTAGAAGTCCCCTGACAGCATGGTCTCCAGACCCCCCGCCCCTGCTGCTCTATCCCTCGAAGTGTTTGGTTGTATTCAGGAAACTTCTTAGCTTTTGGTTTAGTCCAGTTGTGCTGACTATAGTTGTAGTGTGTGTTGTCCTTCCCTTCATCTAAGATAATTCTTGTCTACTATCTAGCTGATGAATAACCCTCTCCCTCCCTCCCTGTACTTTTAACCATCAAAGAATGTATTCTTCTATGTTTAAACCTTTTCTTGAGTTCTTATAATGGTGGTCTTATACAATATTTGTCCTTTTGCCAGTGACTAATTTCACTCAGCATAATGGCTTCCAGATTCCTACATGTTATGAGATGTTTCACAGATTCATTGTTGTTCTTTATCATTGTGTAGTATTCTATTGTGTGAATATACCATAATTTGTTTATCCATTTGTTTGTTGATGGGCACCTAGGTTGTTTCCATCTTTTTACTATGATGAACATGCTGCAGTGAGCATGAGTGTGCATATATCTATTCGTGTGATGGCTCTTATTTCTCTAGGATATATTCCAAGGGAGTAGGGTTGCTGGATCCTATAGTACTTCTATTTCTAGCTTTTTAAGGAAGCACCAAAATGATTTCCAAAGTGGTTATACCATTTTACATTCCCACCAACAGTGTATAAGTGTTCCAGTCTCTCCACAACCTTTCCAACATTTATTATTTCATGTTTTTTGGACTAATGCTAGCCTTGTTGGGGTGAGATGGTGTCTCATTGTAAGTTTGATTTGCACTTCTCTAACGGCTAATGATCGTGAGCATTTCCTCATGTGTCTGTTAGCCGCCTGAATGTCTTCTTTGCTGAAGTGGCTGTTCATACCCTTTACCCATTTTTTAATTGTTTTTTTTGTCTTTTTATTGTTGAGATTTTGCAGTATCTTGTAGATTTAAGACTAGACGCGGATTAGATTTGTTGTAGCCAAAAATTTTTTCCCAGTCTGTAGATCGTCTTTTTACTTTTTTGGTGAAGTCTTTTGATGAGCGTAAGTGTTTGATTTTTAGGAGCTCCTAGTTATCTAGTTTCTCTTCTGGTGCTCGTGCATTGTTACTTATAGTTCATATTGTGTTTATGCCACGTATTAGGGCTCCTAGCACTGTCCCTATTTTTTCTTCCATGATCTTTATCATTTAAGACTTTATATTTAGGTCTTTGATCCATTTTGAGTTAGTTTTTGTGCATGGTGTGAGGTATGGGTCTTGTTTCAGTTTTTGCAGATAGATATCCAGTTATGCCAGCACCATTTATTAAAGAGACTGTCTTTTCCTCAGTTCACGGACTTTGGGCATTTGTCAAATATCAGCTGCTCATATGTGGATGAATTTATGTCTGGCTTCTCAATTCTATTTCATTGGTCTATGTATCTGTTGTTGTACCAGTACCAGGCTGTTTTGACTACCATGGCGGTATAATAGGTTCTATAATCAGGTAGTGTGAGGGCTCCCACTTTGTTCTTCTTCTTCAGTAATGCTTTACTTATCTGGGGCCTCTTTTCTCCATCTCATTAAAAAATGCCGTTGGAATTTGGATCGGGATTGTGTTGTATCTGTAGATCATTTTGGGTAGAACTGACATTTTCACAATGTTGAGTCTTCCTATCCATGAGCAAGGTATGTTTTTCCACTTACGCAGCTCTCTTTTGGTTTCTTGCAGCAGTGTCTTGTAGTTTGCATTGTATACAACTTTTACGTCTTTGGTTAGATTTACTCTTAAGTATTTTATCTTCTTGGAGGGTATTGTAAATGGTATTGATTTGGTAATTTCCTCTTTGAAGTTCTCTTTGCTGATGTAGAGGAATCCAACTGATTTTTGTATGTTTAGCTTGGCTCCTGAAACTTTGCTGAAATCTTCTATTAGTTCCAGTAGTTTTCTTGTGGATGCTTCGGGGTTTTCTGGGTATAAGATAATATAATCTGAAAACA